AGGTGTAACTATTAATAGTTTTCCTAAAGTTATATATGATTAATTCAAGATGGGTGAGCCACAGCCCATTTTTCTAGAGTTACAACTAGAAAATGGTTTAATTAGGGTATCATATAGATTGTTAAAAAATGTCATAATTAAAATTGAAAGTTGCTATTTTGCTTATTTATTTTATTGTTGCTAATATGAAAGTAACCAAAAACACCAATCATGGTCCTATAATTCTTGGTAGACCATTCTTAGCAATAGCTAAAGCCACAATAGATTGTGGAAAAGGGAAGGTCGAATTCAAATTAAGTTAGGAAAAAGTTCACGTAAATATCTCTAAACTGATGATGAAATATCATGAAAAATCAGATGAAGATTTCTACCATGTGGGTACATGTGATAAATTTATTGATGAGAATTGTATTCAAGAACCTATACCCCTAGTGAGCTGCAAGATAATTCCATGTTTTATGATGTCTTGATGCATACCTTTGATCACTTATTCAAATTAAAATCGTTGCCCTCTACTCTCAAATATGATTTTCTTGGTCGAAATAACACTTTCCATGTTATCATTTCTTCATTATTGTCATCCGATCAAGAAAAATAGCTAATGAATGTCCTTAGGATGCACAAATCTGCCATCAGTTGGTCTCTCGCAAATATTAAGGGTACTAGTTTAGAGATTGGCATGCATAGAATTTTGTTTGAGGAGAATTCTCAATGCTCTAGAGAGACCCAAAGAAGGCTGAATCTTGAAATGCTAGAAGTTGTGAAAAAGGAGATCATGAAATGGTTAGATGTAGCAATCATTTATGTCATCTCAGATAGTCCATAGGTCAGTCCTATCCATGTAGCACCTAAGAAAGAGGGAGTTATGATAACTAAGAATGAAAAAGGGAAGGACATTGTAACTAGATTACCTACAAGTTGGAGAATCTACATCAATTATAGAAACTTAATGCTATTACAAAGAAATATTGCTTCCCCTTGCCCTTCATTGATTAGATCGTAGAAAAATTAGCAGGTCAATTTTTTTTTTACTTCTTAGATAGATATTCTATAAGAAATGAGGTTAATCAGATTAATCAAAGATTAAAAAAACTTGATTTACTTATTGAAAATATTAGAAAGCCTCTTAACCCTCAATTTAATTCAAATAGTATAGGTCCTATGTATGGTGAAAATGTTCATTTTGAATTTCAATATCATCATAGGCAAAAACAAGTGCAAGTACCTCATGATTTTAATAAAAATAGAGAATATTTTTTCTAATTCTTATAATCCTAATTGGGGGAATAATTTTTCATGGAGAAACCCAAATAATATTCAAAATCCAAAAGCACTTAGGTCCAATTCAAATTTTGAATTTCGTCCAAAATAGGAACATAGATTTCAAAAAAATCAGTCCTCTCAAATCCAACCTGATGCTATGGAAATGATGTAGCAAATGAGCCAAATGATGCAACAAACTATGAATCAAATGATGCTGCATCAAAAATAAATTATAGAGGTTCTTTGGAATAAGAGAGAAGAGGGACAGCTACCTAATCAGCTCATAAAAAATCCAAGAAACTATCCAACTGTAAGATTTTAGCGAGGGTCTAGCTAGATAGATTTAGAAAAAAAACTCACGAAATGAAAATGTTAGGACAGTTAATACATTGAGTGAGAATATTTTACCTGATTTTTATTTCCAACTATTAGAAGAAATCAATGATCCATTAAAAGTAAATGAGAATATTAAGGCCAAAAATATAGTAGCAGAAAATTTGAATAAAATTATTTATTGTTGACAATTGATGAATGAATATAGTGAGGATGATGAGGAGAAAGAGCCCTTAGATGAAGAAATAGTAGCTGATCATGGAAAAATCATCCAAATTTTAGTAGAAAGAAGTAAGGATAGAAATGAAGAAAAATATATTTCAGGTGAGGAAAAATCAATTAATTTGGGAGATGTAGGAGACGAAATTAATAAATCTAATCATAATTTTGCAGCCATAGATGTTGATAGTGAGGATGATGATGTATATCATATACTGAAATTAAAAGATAGCTCTTGGGAAGATGAAGAATTTGATGAGTTGAGAAACGAAAAGCTAGAAAAAGAGTTAATCCAACTAATGGGGAGAAATGAAAATAATGAATATGAATATAGAGATAATTTTGGAGGAGAAAATTTAAATTTTACTGAATTCATTAGATTTGAGATTAAAGAAGACAATCCTTCCATCCTTCAAAACCCATAGTCTATTAGAATTATTTCTAAGCTTGAAATATTTCACTCCTTGTAAATTGAACAAATATATATGGAAGATAAAATGGAGCAAAGGAAGATTATGTAGATAAGAAAACACATTAAGAAATGAGTGAGTGGAAGAATTAGATATATCAATTTAGATGAAAAAATTCTAAATTAGGTAAGAGCTAATTTAAAAATTATATGGCCTGATCATATTTTATGGTCTATTAATAGAAAGTATTTATTAATGAATGAGAGCCTTACAAAACAAGATAGAAATGAGGAAAAATTCTTTTCAAAATGGAAATATTATTTTTGGAAAAATTTTGTTAATTTCCATTTTGTTTTGGCTGAAAGTATGTTAAGGTATATATATGAAGTATATTAATTTATGCTAAATCTGAAAAAGAATATCATGAAACTTACCTTGGGATAAAAATATATTTTGATGGCCATAGATCATCTTATATGATATAAGAGCTGTCCAACTAAAGACATTAAATTTAATGCTGCATGAGAGGCAACCCATGGTCTTTATTTCATTTTTTTTGATTTTTTTTTAAGCTCTGTTTTTCTTAGAATTTCGCAGTACTTGTTTCTATATTTGTTTTTTCGAAAAAGTGCAGGAGGAGTGTAAGATGAAGTGAAAAATTAAAAACGAGGTTGAGGTGATGTCTTTCTGAGCTTTATCATTTATGAAAATATTTTTAATGCTTAACTTTGCACATATGCATGCTTCACTTGAAAATTATATTTTCTACATATTTTGTTTTGATTTTTCTGTGACATTGAGGATAGTGTCATTTTTAAGTTGGGGGGTGAAGTATTCATTATTAATTTATGTTGTAGGATGATTAAGAACATGTGTTTACATTAGAACAACAACTGAAATTTTTTTTTAATAATAATAATAAAAAATTTAGAAAAACTACAACATCTACTTTCTAGTTTTCTATTAAAAATAATAGACTACCAAAAATAACAGACCCAAAGAAATAAAAATAAAGCCCGAAATTTGAAATTCTAGAGACCTTTTTCTCACATTTCAATTCCCTAGACATATACAACTGAAATTCGAAATTACAACTATAAAGAGGATAGTTTTGATTTATTTTTTGATAAATTTATTGCTGCTAAAAATAGAACTGAAAATAGAAATAGAACTATTAGAACTATCTAATTTATAAATTTCTTACATCATATTACATGCATGAAAAATTAAATCAATTATATTGATTGATACTAAAAGATACTAAGAAGATTATTATTGAGTTAAAATAATGATCTAGTAGTATGAAATGTTGGAATACTCCTTGGGTACATGATAGATAACATGGATTTGATTTTACAGATTTTCACTTCATGATCTTGACGAATAATATTTACTTGATGTGAAAATTTGATTGATCATTTGAGTTTAATGGAGATTTTTGTACCTTGATCTATAAGACTTGTGAGGAGAAATCACTTATTTCGAAAAAAAAGAAAGAACAATATGAAAAATCTAGAAACGAAGAGTACGGATAGAAGGTGTGAGACATCATTCTCATTGTCAAAAATCGTGCATAAAAAAACATACTGTAAAATAAGTGGATAAAGTGAAAGCCTTGAAAATGAAGAGTACACATGGAGGGTGTGAGACATCATTCTTATTGTCGAAATTTGTCTACAAGAAAAGCTACTTATCCACTATATATGTATAAAAAAAAGAGGAAGAAATATAGTGCAAACTTCAAAAATCAAGTCATAGAAAAAGGGAAATATATGATCAATATTATTCTTGGATGAGTATTGATAATTGGAACATCTTATAAATACATCTATGAGTGAAGAAGTGAGAAAGATATAAATAGAAGAAGTGAAATCTAAATTGTTATTACAAGGAGTGTTTAAACATTTAAGTACTTGACATCATTCTTAAATACTTGATATAAGAATATCATTTCTAATTGTATTTTTTTTCTACATTGAAATATGATATTTGAGATTTGTAATTTTTTATTTTTGTAATTCTATTGCTAAGAGACTAGCAATGATTTAAGTTGGGGGGTGTGATAAGTCTTCACTATCATGAGTTAATAATTAGTAAATAATATAGTTTTAGCCTTAACTCATGATAAATAGACTTATATTTGTGTTAAACTGTGAAAAGGGATTTTCAATTGATTAATATAAAATTTTGGGTAATTATGTGATTTTACATGAATTTATATGATTTTTATAGTTTTGCTTTTGTGATAAATGAAGAAAAAGAAATAAAAAATAAAAATAAGACAAAGAAGGGGGACCTACTAGCTAGCCGGGCCTGCAAGCAGGTCGGAAGCTCAGTTGGAGAGTAGCCGCAAGTAGGGGCTCAAGTAGGCTTGGACTGATAGAGGCATGTGTGCACCACTCCCCTTCCACGTCACTAGTGGCCAACCAATTGTGGGGCTAGGAGTGGTCGTACATGTAAGAGAAGAGACTTGCTTAGGAATGAAATACTAGTATATATTCACCTGAAACATTGATGCACAACCGATGTGAGACTAAGCTTGCGTCACCTTCCCTAGAAAGGGCGGGCAACCGGCGCGGGTTCAAATCCTCTCAGAGTCAAAAGTCATATCTTTTTATCTAATTATAGCACCTTTTTTGCAAATCGCTAGTGAAGGATTAAGCAACTAGAATCGCTAGATCATTGACAAAAATCTCATCAATGTGATTCGTGAAGTATTGCTACTAAAATTACTGAACGATTCATGATAAAAGGATCACGAATCCATCGAGTAAATTATCTTTGGTTGATTGATGAACAAGCCATCGTCGGGAAGAAGACAATCCGTTGGGAGATGAGTCGCCACCTCTTGAGAGTGTACCAGATGCAATTAAGAGCCTCCTCTTGCTGCGCGGACTTGAGGATGAAGCTCCTTGACACAAAGTCGTTGTCGCTCCTCGCCGTCAAGTGACAGCTATCAGAGAGCCACAAAGTTGCCATTTTTTCGCTCTGTCAAGTGGCAGCCACCCCAAATGATTCGACGACCCATTTCATTAATCTCTAACTTCGCAAAGAGATCTAAAGATTGCCATGTCTTTGTCCAAAGAGAGCCTTCAAGGCTGTGGACACTACACGACGATCCTCTTGAATGCTTAGGATTCTGGTGCATCACCGACGCATCACCGTCGTGATGCCGGAACTCTATTTTCCTCCTTTCAAACTTACTTTACACTTCATTTAGTGATAATTTATGTGATTTTAATTTACCAAAATATACTTCATTTACTTACAATTCTTCTGACTTTTACATATCTTAATTTAATCAATTATTTTATTTGCAATCACTTCCATAAGAATCGTTGGGTGGAACTCTATTTTTCTGCCCAATTTGCATTTGTTGGGTGCTGACATCATCTTGACTTTTGCATCGTTATTTCCTTTTTTTGTGAATTTTAAATATATTTCCTTTTCATTTCTTAGTATAAAATTTATAAAAAATAGTATTCTTTGGGTAAATTTCTGAATAATTATTAGATATTATATTACATCCCTATGATTGACCTAGAAAATTACCACTAATTTTTTGAAAATTTTATTGAATTATAATTGGTATATTTGTTTAGAAATACTTTTAAATATCTGAAAGATCATATTTTCTAGTTTTATAAATTTGAGATTTACGTGATTTAATATACAATGACTAAGTCACGTCAGCAACCATTTATAAAATTTGAAATTTTCATCTTCACAATTTCTTTATCAATGACTTCTCTTTTGAATTTTACGTAGTTTTCTTTTAGTTGTGTTTGGACTACACAAATGTGGTTCATCACATGACTGACAACATAGGATGTTGTATTCAATGCTCAGCAGCAACATTTAGGGACCTTCTTGCATTACTTAGTTTACACCTTCCTCCCTTATTACTTCTTTTTTTCTCTCATGCATTAGGGACAATGCAAGGATTCAGTTGGGGGTGACCAGGTGTATTTCGTTTAGCATTCTCATGCAATATTAATAGTCTAAAAACAAAATTTAAGTACCTTCTTGCTGCCCACCTAAAGAACTAAATCAAAGTAGATCATGTTTAGACTTTGATCAGTATATCTTGATGTTTCGGAATAGCCAATATAGATGATCATGCTGCTGCCTTCCACCTCAAATTCAGAAATGTGTTTCTTATGGAATAAGTCCTAAAAAGAAGGATCATGTTAAGTAGTGTTTAAACATTCATGAACATAAGTTAGTAGTAAGTAGATTTAATTACTATTTATTTAAAAAAACTTCTGTAATTGTGATAGAGTTAGTTCACACTATTTGACTTTTTAGTCAAGAATATCCCTAGTCTAGATAGAGAGCTAAAGGAAGATCACTCAACACTTTTATGCTCTTATAAAACTTAATAGAGTGTAAGCCTTCAAAGTATGAAAATCTAGTTGTACAGAGTGTAAGCCTAAATGGAAATAAAGAGGATTTCTCCTCCTTCTCCCATGGAGTTGTCCACATGTTAGATTAGGACAAGCCTTACCTTATTTTGGAAAAGTTATCTACATAACATCTAAGCTATGTACAATAAGCTGGAGTGATCTTAAGTAAGCTCAAAATCTAGAATTTGTTGGTGATAACTTGACTAGTTAGGAGCATAGGTGAATTTAATGACTTGGAAGTTCAATTGTTGAGAATGAAAGAATAAGTGAATCTGAAGTCTACTTAAATGCTGATTCATTAATGTCTTGACATGAGTAGATGAGACTCTCCAATTATGACTTGTGAAATAATGAACAAGCTTTATGAATTAATTGATTTGGATGTTAACATAATTCTGTAGTTATATGTTGTTCGAAAACTTGAAATATTTCCTTACTAAGAGCCTAACAATGAGCCAAGTTGGGGGGTGTGATAACATACTAATTATTCTATTTAAAGAGTGTGAATTATCATCTTCTATGAGCTTAGAATGTATAATTTAGTATGTTATCATATTAAAATTGTATCTTTCTCATTTCCATCATTTTATAAGAAGATTAGTCATTTACAAGAATTTGTTAGAATTATTTGACATGTGTTTCACTGGAATTAACTCTCTACAAATGTGAGTATTCTAGGAATTCTTGGATTTATTTATAGATTTTTAGGAGCTGATGCATGCTTCAATGGACAGGATTTGATCTAAAGCCTATGAAGCCAAGTAAATGCCAATCAATGTTGATGTGTGTCATCAACAAATGAAGAAGATCAGAAGCGACTAAGTGTGATCTATGCAATCAACAGTGAAAGAAGGATGCTCTGGAGTCATGCAGCGATTCACAGAAACAAGTAGAATCTCATGGCCAAAACACTCTCTTCGGGTATAACACTCTAAGTTAGCTAAGCCAAAATGGAAATCAGTTTTCTGTGGATCAAAGTGATGAGTTTCCTCTTACTCCACAACCCTAGATTTGGCAATCCAAAACGAATGTAACCAGAAAAATGGGCTTATAAAACCAGGACTAGTCTAGGTAACATGTATCTCCCTAGTCTAGGTAACATGTATAAAACCCTAAACCCTAACATGTATCTCCCTAGTTTAGGTCAATCTTGTTGATTTTCGTTGATTCAAGTGTTTGTGTGTGTTCTGGATGGTAAGGAAGCTTTCTTCAAAGAGTAAACTACCTGGCCATGGAAAAATATAAAGGTCCAAGGTAGGTTCTCCATAATCCAATTTATCCTGCACATGAACAATGAATTTAGGGATTGTTAATGTATATTAGGTGGAATTATACCTTAGGATCTAATCATTCACTCAACTAAATCATGTTTAATTTTCTACCCATCTTTCTCATTCGAGTAAAAACCCTTATATGCCTACATATCGTCCTCCTCTTCTCCTTTACTCTCACCCACTGTGCATTCCCATTTAGTATATTTTGTTCATTAAAATTGGTGGCTCCTAAACCACCTAATCGTCACTCTCTATGGATCAACTTGGACACACCCTAGCTGCATTGTAGTTAGTCGAAGCCAATGACATTCGAGATTAAAATCCAAAAAATCACTTGGTAAGATATTTTCTGAGATAAAAATGTGGACAAGTTATCACCAAGTTATTTTAATTTCATTCATGGAATGTTGGATGTGCCTAGAATGGTATATTTTATATGATTGTGTATAGTTTCTTTGCACAAGGTATAATAAAAAATAGTTTTCTTTTATAGAAAGCTCAAATTGGAAAGCGATTTTCTTATTTTGACTCTAGATTCTACATTGGTAAAACACAATCATCTCAAAGATCTTGAATTACATTTTATTTTTGTTCAATCATGACGTTACAATACTTTCAAAGAGAAATATTCAAGAAAATTTACTTTTTGTTTCGACCTTTTCATTTTGACCACTTTTGACAATTTCTAAGACATTTATGTAAATCAAATAGTTGCCCTAGCAGAGAAAAACAATTTTCTACATATTAATGTAATACATGCAAACTACAGAAAATAAGATTGTAAATCCTCTTTACAAAAAAATGATAAAACCAAGAAAGTGTCTGAATGTGATCTCACATTGTAATAAATGTGTATTGAAATCCCTGATATTTAACCAATATTAGATCTTAAGAAGAAAAAGTAACTGAATTTACGAAAAATTTTGTATGTTTCTAGGTTTTTCATTTCTTTCGAGACATTTACTCTAATTTTCAAATGTTGAAGATGCATAAATAGTTTACTCATTCACTTTAGCGAGGTGTTTCCAATTAAATAATTCAAAGAAATATGTTTGAAAGCCTTTATGGCACATGCTTTGTGATGTGTAGGAATAGAATCTGGTTCGATAATTGGCCTAATTTGTCATATGTCATAGCATCTTCTCTAGTTATGCTCTCGTTTTGTTACATATAATTCATTTCTAATTCTTAAACCTATTTGACTACTTAAGCCTCAAATTTTTCACTTTCATTGGTATTGTTGAATTTTTTTAAATGAAATCAAAAAAATGTTAATTACCAAGGTTGAAAAAAAATAATATTTCTTTAACAAAGTATTGACTCACAAATATTTCAAAAGAATTGACATGTATGTTCATTGATTTTACAGTGCTAGGAGATGTAAAAAATAAATTTCAAGTGATTAGAACTAATTAAAATGGAGAGGAAACATAAAAAACACTATAATTCATGCCAACCTGTTGTTTATAATACTAAAAATTTCAGCCTCGCTCAATAATGTCTCATGTTGACCATAAAACGAACCAAAACAAAGACAGCCATGGTCGTTGTGGTCAGCATCAGACACGCATGAAGGTGAATCGGTCATCAGGACAAAACAACTACGTTCAGAACTAACTCGCTTGCAAGGCGAATGCCAGCCTGCAGGCATTCTCCAAGAAGGAAAGGACAGGCAGGTCGAGCACTCGCTAGCACTCCCCCGGCTGTGTGGAGCATATGGATTGCTATTCTTCGAAAAAGAAAGGTCCTTCTCAACTATATCCCCCTCTTCTGTCTAGATAGTGTTATCTCCCACCCTCTACTATCTTCAGGCTGCGAATAATAAGACATCAGAAGGCAATGTTGCTGCGCCAAGCGTATGTCCCGCTCTCTCTCCTCTACTTGGGCTGCACTCGGTGCAGAGCTAGGTAAGCCATGAACCGATAACCCAGGAGCATGACGAGCATGATGCAGACGTCCAACCATAGGTTCCTGAGCCCCACCGATCTGACCGAGGGGAAGTCCACTACCCGGCACATCACCCCCTTTGAGCACTCGTAGTAGTCGTCCTCGCTGATTTGCACCCCGAGTAGGAGCTTGTAGCAGTAGTAGCTGTAGCTGAGGTACTTAAACCACTCAATGAAGACTGGGATGTGCTGCACATAGTAGCCGCCAGCAATGAGAAAGACGATGGTGATGACGGAGGCTAGAGTAGTGCCCTGCTTGACGTCCATGAGGATGGCGCCTATGGCAAGACCAAGGCTCTGGGCCACGAGCACGCTGTAGAGGACGACGAGAAGGGAGAGGAAGAAGGCGGCAGGGTCGGGCTTGAGGCCGCCCATCCAATAGAGGATGACCACAAAAGTCGTGGGAAGCGCGAGCTCCATGGGCAGGTCGCCTACCGTGCGCGCGAGGAAGTAGGACGAAAGGCGGTACATTCCCGAGGATCGTTCCTTCATCAGCATCGACCGTTCCTGAGGGAAGGTGAAGACGCTGTTGTACAGCGGGAAGAAGCCCCAGAAGACGGAGAAGAAGAACATGAGCGCGCTCTGCAGAGGAACAAAGCGTGTACAAGTTCAATGACTAGTCGTGCGAGCAATTTCCAATCCATATCTGAGGGGAATGGCGGTGGTAGTAGGTGCAGCAAGAAACCCAAACCCAGGCCCGGATCTTCTTCTTCTGATTAGATTATTTTTGTCTCTCCCGATGACGACCCAGGGGGGTCGCCTCCGACGAAGCGTTCGGCTTTATTGCACTTCATTCTAATTATAGACTGAACCAGTTGTAACCAAGGTGCGAAAGAAATAGGCACGCCTGTTTCCTACGATTTGTGCTAGTCGGCGGGGGCCGGCCGCTATCGGTCATTGGGCAAGGATATGTGGGAAGGAACCTTAAAGTGCGTGAGGCTCATCTCCCGAAAGAAAGTGCGGCGGCAATGGAAGTACTTACTCGATCCTGGATGTGGGAGGGCGGGGTCTGCCACCAGAGTAAACCGGCGAGAGTTGCGACGCTAACGACCTGGAAAATGCGGAGGTAATTGAAGACCTCGTACCGCCTCTCTTTCAGACTCCTGCTCAGAATCACATTGAACTGTCCCCACCAGCTTATGCTCCACTGCTCCTTCCTCACTGCATAGTAGAAATGCAGTGTAAGAGACACCATCGCCGATCAGAGTTAGTAGGGTTTCTGTGGAATGTTACTGGTCTCACTGGGGAGGGAGGACAGCCCGCTGCCGACATAGGTGGCTGCGTCAGTGGAGAAGCACAACTCTTCCTTCAGCCTCGATGCAATGTTCTTCTCGTACGCCGACAGGAGCGTCTTCTTCACCAGCTTCTGCTCCTCCAGGTCTTTCCCGCTATCCTTCACCTCGCTGGTTTCTCCTCCGGGCTGGCACTCCGGCGCGAACCCTGGCCAGTTGACCCCACCGAGTTAGATGGAAACAACAGCCTCATCGATCAAGTTCACGTGGAAGCACAAGGAGAGGACAAGCAACACGCCACTGATCAAGCCACGTGTCTGTAACAGTCCCGCAGGAACGTTCAACCCGGAAGATTGGATCCCAAAAGGATGATGAGCTTTACTGGAGTGAGGTCCGTGGGTCACTCATATCACATGGATGGTATGCATATGGTTAGAGAAAGTTGGTGGCGACAGTTCTACCGTTGGCAAGGTCCAGCATTAAATCTGCCGGGTTGACGACGACCGACGTCCGGAAGCCGATAGACGCAAAATAGTCCAGAGCGGTGGAGGCAGGTCCATGGTAGATGGGGCTGCCCTCGGAGAGGATCGCCACCTTGTCAAACATATGGTAAAGACGGCTCGAAGGCTGGTGGATGGTAGTGACTACCGTGCGACCGCCGTAGGCTAACCGCTTGATGGTGTTGAGGATCCTCTGGGCAGTAGTTGAGTCGAGCCCGGAAGTGGGTTCGTCCAAAAGGAGTAGGCTCGGGTTTATTAGCATCTCCTGACCGATACTAACTCGCTTCCGCTCGCCGCCAGAGATACCCCGGAAGAGTGGCCCTCCGATCATGCTGTGTGCGCAGCGACCCAGACCGAGCTCAGAGATGACGCGCTGAACCTGGGTCTCCTTCTCCTGCCGGGTGAGCGAGCCTGGCAGCCGGAGAAGGGCGGTGAAGACGAGCGTCTCTGAGACCGTAAGATGCGGGTAGAGAACGTCGTCCTGGGATACGAAGCCCGTCCGCCGGCGCATGCTTCCGGAGAAAGGTTGGCCGTTGTATGTAATCTTGCCGCTCAGCTTGCCCTGGAGGCGACCCCCGAGGGCCGTGAGGAGGGTGGTCTTGCCGCTCCCTGACGGGCCGAGCATGCCCAGCATCTCCCCGGGATTTACCAGACCGGTGACGCCGTTGAGTATCGTTTTCTCTGAGCAGTCACCATGGCCGCCGCTGCCGCACCAACTGAAGCCACCCTTCTGACACAACTTCACCTTATACGCTACTTCCTCAAACTGTAAAAGAAAGGACGAGTATTTGTTAGTATTCTGAACGCATACTCTGGTGGTGGCGGATCATTACCGGCGGTGTTGGAACCACTGCGAGAAACCGTATAGCAAAGCATGACATGCCAGACAGAAATCTCGGTGGTTCTACCTTGAGTGTGACAGGATATACTGCACTGACAAGCGGACGGAGACCCGGATCCGACCGCGGGGCCTTGAACGATACGGAGGTGGTGTTTTTCAGCTCGTTGCCGGGCTGGGTGCTGCGGGCGGCGACGGGCTCTTGCTTGGACATGTTTCAGGCGGCGGGCTGCTGGCACAGGGATCGATAGGTAGATGGAGAGTGTGTGTCTATGTGTGTATGAGAGAGAGAGAGAGAGAGAGAGAGGAGGAGAGAGAGAGAGGGAGAGAGAGAGCGAGAAAGAGAGAGGAGAGAGAAAGAGAGAGGAGAGAGAGAGGAGAGAGAGAGAGGAGAGAGGGAGAGGGAGAGAGAGAGAGAGAGACAGACAGAGACAGAGAGAGAGAGAGAGAGAGAGACAGAGAGAGAGACAGAGACAGAGAGGGAGAGAGAGACAGAGAGAGAGAGAGAGAGGGGTTTTGAGATGGCAATGTTTGGTTTGTGCTTTGGTGGTTGTCTAGGGTTAGATATACGAGTGCAAAGGAGGTGATCGAGGACGAGAATGTCTTCTTCGCCGAGTGCGACGCACCTCCCTGGCGCCACAGTAGTGGTGGTGGGGTGATTTGATTTGGTGCGCGCACCATTCTTCCTTTGAGCTTTCCTCGCGTTAAGCATCCCATCATGCCTGCCTAATCAGTGCATATATTTCGGCAAGGGCTGGCCGAAAAGATAGACCCCATCATCGAGATTGAAACACGCGGACTGCTCGGCTCGTCGGGGGATAAATCACTTTAACAGGTTAACATGGAGAAGGAAGATGTGAGGAAGAGGTGAGAAGATGTCGGATGTGATTAGCATAAAGGAGTGCTCCTTGTTAACAAGATGTCTGCCCGCCGCCAGCAATAGCCTCGTGGGGCCTGCTTTCCAATAAACCCCAACAAAGAATTCGACGTGCGACAGGTGATAATGCTCTCCTTTTCAACTAACAACCACAACGCACATGATAATATTCTTGTTCTTCCGTAAGCCCTGGGCGACACTGACATTGATTAAGAATGATTGATATGTGACGGACGAAAGAATCGACTGCGGCTGTCGTCTTCAACTTCTGCCGACTCGATCGAGGGCCAATTCGTCCCGTATTTCTCCTTGCTTTGCCTTGTACCGCTAACTAGTCGAGCAGCTCGATCCTAATCTCCATATTCGTGTGGAACGAAGCCGGAGAGACGAGGACTCCTGCTGTCTAGTCGACCCAGAGTTAGGAACGTTGGAACAAAACACACATGGAGCGTCGCCGCCTTTTCAAAGAAGTGGATAAGGGGAATATTAGTTACGGCTGCGTAATAAAACCCCCACTCGTGCATAGTGGTCCCAGGAACATCACTTCACCAGATCAATCAGGGTGAGGTGTGCTGGGCTCGTTCAGCGCGTGCAGATGTGCTGTTCTTCGTGTGCAGACAAACCAACTTCTCCTAGAACAAGTTTTACGTGCCAGGAGCAAGCACTGAGAGACCCTTTTCCCAGAGAATAATCTTTGGGTTGCCATTCCGAAGCATCTATGGGCCAGAGGAAGCTGTCTCCCACCCTCCTAATGCACTGCTCTCCCTTCCACACGGAAAAAAGGCTCATTGTGAGCGAAAAGACCGCGAAACAGAGGATGAAGAGAGAGAACCCCCTCACAATGGAGTGAGGAAAAGAGAAGAATGGGGTGCGTTAGTGCTGTTCTTTTTTAGCTTCCGTCTCTTTCTCTTTCGTTACAATCAGCTGACTCTTTGAGACGCATTTGAATTCGATGTGCGCCGACGCACGCAGTTCATCAGTTTGAGAGAAAGAAAAGGTGGATTTGGAGCGTTATGGCGAACACTAGAAAGCAAGGAAAAGAGAAGAATAATTAGAAGAAGAAGAAGAAGAAGAAAAAGGAAACCAAGAGGAGATGACTCGTGCTGGGGCAATGATCCGAGAATGTCCTGTTCAGTCTCGGTACGTGCGTGGTGTTCGTGTCGAGGGAACCAAAATGTGAAGTCTCATTTGTCTTCTAAACAAGGAGACGAAGGTCTCATTCACATCCCTAACGAAGAGACGAACGCTTTTAAATGAACCCCTCCGGCTCCTTGGTTAGATGGAACTGTGGCCTCGTAAACTTCTTTATACGTCGGCGCTCTTCTTTCCCCGTGTTTGTCTGACGCTGTTTTGGCTTCGACACGTGTCTGCCACTCGGAGTAATATTTAACCTTTGCTATCCACCGCCGGCCTCGGAAGGTTGCCCCCGTCTTTCCCGCCCCTGAGAGTCATTGGGTCCAGGAAGAAGGACGAGCCTAGGGCAATGCATGGAGGGCCCTCCCCATTCTCTCTTTCTCTCGCCTTGCACTTTCTGAACATCTGCTTTCTTTACCAGCGATGCCCCGACTCCTTTCTCCTCCTCCCACGTCGTCTTGCAGCCGACTTCGCCCTATTTTACATCCTGTTGGACGGTGAGGATGTCTCAGCTGTAACTCTGATTTCTGGGTGGCGAATGAGAGCGAACTCGTGTCGTTCACATGTGAAGTTAAACGCCGTCAAGAGCAAAAGTTGGGAAGGATACGAGGGACGGGAGGCGCACGGCAAAAGAGAGAGGAAGATGGAAGGGAGGTGCCATGGGTTACCTCCCTAACCCACGCTGGCCTTGTGGAATGAAAATTCTGCCAGACTTTGGAGGCTCTTAGGAACGCCGTTAATTAAATTATCCTAGGAAAGGGTCCATGGAATCGCACTCAACTCACGTCGGCGGTTCATGGGATCGTTAGGCTTTGTTAGGGCAAAGACTCCTAAAAAGGCGCCTATCTTGGGGAGGAGGCGTTCGCATGAGATTAGGGGGAACAATTATCTACTTTGGTTCGGTGGCAATTTGTTAACGCGGCATGTGGGCGCCCATTCGAATTCGATCAGCCCGCATCTCCTCCCGGTTCGTCGACGGACAGTGCCAGCATCGACCGCTGCAGACGGAGGGGGCTGTCGGCGACGGCGACAACTAGGACGTTGAAATGAGAGAACAGAGGATCCACGGAGATCGAAATCCACCTACTTGAGACGTGAATGCCCCGGGGAGGTCAGAGAAATGTTCAGGTAGAGGAAAAACAGTTTATACCATCTCCCGAGCTCATCAAATCAGCTCTAGAAGAAATAAATTCCATGGTCTCTCCTGCTACTTATCTTGTCCTCTTGTGTGGTGCCATCATTCCCGCTTGAGCCTGCGCGGCCCCTCACCGGTCACTGCTCGCTTTTACTGATACAGCGAGTTCGCACTACGCATCTTGAGCCCAATTCTTCCGCGATATGCTGCATGAAAGTGCCTCAGAAAGGCGATCACGATGCTAGTTTTCCCCAAGAACATCCTCACATTACGTGCTCCTATGATTGGCCACACGGGAGTCAAATTGAGACAAGAATTTGACTGGACGAGGCCTCCACGCAGAACTACCATTGTAGTAGCCGGCCTATGACGTTTGGTCGGCAAAGCTCAGTTCGGGACTGTCACAAACGCCTTCACCTGTCTCTGCACCCCACCTATATCATAATCATTGCATTCGCACGTCGAATACGTACTTTACCGGAATTTCGCCGTCAGCCGAGTTAAAGTAGTTAAACCCATGTCTTTGTTCTACATAGTTGACTGTTGCCCCAAGAGATGCCGTATCGCCGATAAGTACCCGACCACGGCATGCCGTTCTCATCGTAGGGCGTCAGTAATCCCTGGTGGCCATAGTTGATTAGAGTTTAATGATAGCCTCCAAACTCCCTTAATCTCTCTATTCTCTTAACCCCACAGCCTCTAACTGTTGAGTTGGAGAAGACTAAATGTCGCACATCCTTGAGTCCCCTTCTGCAGTAATTGAAGGCTCTCTCAGAGGGCATGCTGTATTCGAGTTTATGTTTTCTTCAATCAGAGACACATCGCATCTCCATGTTCCTAGACAGAGGCCATTATTTTCCACGTTAATTAAATGGGCCATTCATCCTTTTGTCGTTGGACCGTCCACTCATTAATCAGGAACTGACCAAAATAGCGGACTTCAACGTAAGAAAATAATCCGCGAGTAGTGATGACTTCAGATATTAAACCCTATCCATAACCCAGAATCGGACGACTGATTCGACCTGATAATCTCAATCTAATACTTTCTGAGCAATTTCTCGACTCTGCCTGGTAGATACAGATCATCGCCGCTATGGCGACGGCATTTGGGAACGTAGAACCGTTTCAAATGCAGCCCAAATCTCACTATCTACGCCCCGCATTTCCTCCGTAGATCAATTCGCAAGACAACATCATTCATGCGCATAACACTAAACTCCAGTATTGCCTCCTGAGGAAGAACTGGGTTTCCACGGACCATGAGAATAGAGACGACTTCATCCAAGGTAGCTTCAGGATGCACTTAATGGGAGGAAGTCAATGGGGCTATACAGTGAGTGTTTTCCACCGTCGGTTCAAGAGTACCTGAACCGCACATTAGGCGCTCCCTCAATATTCTCTCCCCCTCGAGATAGTGGAGCTTGAACTGATGGTGATGTGCCAGCAGTGGATGATCGACGTTGTGTCTCATTCATCGCGCGCATTGGAATTTCAATGGACCACTCCCCATGCCAGAAGAGGATCGGCGCGCTTAGGCGGCGTCCACATCGGTCCCTCACTACTTTTACATTTGCATACTTATCCAGTGTAATTCTCCGTCCATCCAGAGGTGTATGCAGACTCAATCGCGGCAGTAAATTGAAGGAAATATTTTCGACATTGATCATCAGTGAATGTGTTTGCTAATGGAAAACTGCCCATTGGGTTGATTCAACTAATACCTTTATCAAAACATTCGACTTCATGGATTTTATTTTCATTTGAACGGTTAAATCTGCATATCTGACTTCGCATGAGGTCCGATTTATAATCCTTGGTATCTTTGGCTTGGCAATGTTCCAAATATTCAAACTGAACGTTGATTAACATGATGCGTCATTATTCTCTGGACATAGGCAGAGGGGTATAGGGATGACCATCTAATGGAAACTCAACAATTAAGAACTATATCGAATTTATATGGATACAGCTTTCCAGGGAGTTTGGCACAAATTCATTGACATTCCTTTCCATAGAGATTCATTATAGCAATGTTATTTTGAGTTCAAAAAAATCCCCAGCTTCT